ATATATAACTATTAACTTTAGACTTTTTAACTTTTAGGCTACAAGACACTACCAAACAAGTGTAATGCTTCAGCACCAACCCAACTGTCAAGTGATCCTTATAAAGCCCAGGAGCTCATTAGAGGAACAGCCAACAAGTGAGTCAATCAGCAACAGAGGAGCCACAGGAAAACACCAATCATCACATCTGTTCAAAGTTTTCTGGGGGAGGACCCACAGACCCCCCACCAATGGGTCCCCCAACCTTACATATACTTCTGATGCCACTGAAACGTGTAGCAGCGTAAGTACATTTCATGGTACTCAAGATGCAGAAAAAATTATAAATGAACTGTTGCAGAAGAGCAGAAAGTTTTGGTTCTTGTTTTTTATTATTTTATTTTATTTTATTTTTTGTTTCTGGACATCACAAAATCAATAATATTATCTGTTATATTACAAACAGAACATCTGTTGGCAAATCCATAGCTTTTATATTTCCATAGATTTTAATTTTAATTTTTATAACCACATCATAAAATTTCTGTTATGGATATTAGTTTTGGTGTGCCACCCATTGTTTTTCAGTGGCCCCCCTGAAAAAAATTTCTGCAGATGCCACTGCAACGTATATATGGAAAATCATTACTGCCATTAAAATGTATTGTTATAACTATCAGTAGTAATGATTATAAAAATAATAATGAACTTGTAGCCTACATGAAAAACCACTAATGCAATCAAACCCATGAATGTAAGACTATCACTGCCATAAAATCTAACATTAATACTCATTGAGTCTGTTTCATTATTAATCAAACACGTAAAAATGTCATTACTGCCATAGATATTAGCAGTAATATTAATAATGAACTCATATATGGACAGCAATTACTGCTATAATCAAAACAATTTGTGGAAAATATCATAAAACACAATCATAATATTGACCCTTTACACAGGACCATTCAGAAGGCGGCCCACTCCATCATGACGGCTGTCAAAACGACCTATCCACGTAAAGTCCTGTAGTTGGCAGACAGTGGGTCCTCACAATAAACCACAAGATGCTCTTACGATGCTTTAATTTTCTACAAGTTTGTACTGCCAGAAAGATAACAGTTTCTGAGAGCTAATAATGAGCACTTTCCTGTCTTTACCTGCTGCTGCATGAAGCTGTGAAACAGCTCCTCTACACCACAAGTACAGCTCTCCTCACATCTTCGTGCAGGACAGATCCACCCAAATCAAGATGGTTGAAAACACAAAAAAAATTATTTTTCACTATTAACAAATAACAGAAATCCATCTTTCTGACAGAGAACTTTAATCCTCATCTATTTTACTGGTTATTGTCCAACTTTTGTAAATACCTCAGTCTATGAGCCCCACACACAAATTAGCTTGACTTGGACCAGTGGTAGCTGTGGCTATAACAACATGGAAAAATAGATAAAGGCCATTGCTGACATGAAATAATAATCAAATTACTATTACTACTACCATTTATTAAAAATGGTATTTGAATTTATAATTGTGCATCCTAATATTAGTTCCAATCATGATGTAATACGAAGTCACAAATATGAGACAATGTTACAATTATGTGATTGATGATTGATTGAGAACATTCTTTCAATTAATCAATCCTTGTAGAATCCTTTACAACAGCCAAAAGGTGCACAAAGTGCTTCATTATAATAAAATTAAAACAAACAATAAAGCAACATACAAATCTCAGAGTGCAACTAGATACTAAAAGCCTGCCTAAATAAAAAGGTTTTAAGATTAGATTTAAAGTGACCATAAAGGTCCGATAGATTTTTTTTTACATACAAAGCCATGTTTGTTCCAAAGTCTAAATACAACATTTGTATTTGACTTTGAGACAAACAGTAAAGATGTATTTGATGACTTTGAGGTTCTCTCATACTTGTGGAAAGCTACCAGATGACTAGAAGGTGGGGCAAGACCATTAAGTTTTAAAGGTGAATAAAATTTTAAAATAAATTTAAACTTGCTTCTCATATTTTATCATTTCCATTATCTGACTTGTTTAATTTATCCTTAAAAATTAGTCAAACCCCCTTAACACGGAAATGTGCTACAGTAGCCAAACCCCAATTTCTTAAAGGGGGTGACCCTCCAGATCTTAACAGTTATAGACCTATCTCAATTATTAACAGCTTAGCAAAAATATTCAAAAAGCTTATTTTTAATCATTTATCTAAATATTTTAATGCGTATAATGTTATCTCTACACCATGTTGGATTTTGGCCAAATTATTAAACTACCATGCTCTTAAATTTACAGACATACAGTCAGCTTCTGATAGAAATATGCCTACAGGTGCTGTATTCATTGAACTGGCCAAGGCATTTGACATGGTTGATCACTATTTACTCTTAAATTATTTGCTCTTAGTGTCTCCACCGATTCCTTTTTATTTTTGTATTCTTTTCTTCATTCCAGAAGTCAGTGTGTCTTCTTCCAGGGCAGCCAGACTAAGATGATTGAAAAAGGGGTGCCACAAGATTCATCCCTAGGTCCTTTGCTATTCTCTATATCACTACATCTCTATATAGCTCATCACTTAAACACAGTGGAGGATTCATCATACTCTGTATAGCTCAGGCAATATATGATTTAAAATAAATGAAAATGTAAAGACAGAGAAGTGAGTTCAGTATTGATCCAGCATGAAATAGTCTCCTCACATGGTTTATTATTAATTAGTTGATTTTTCACTACAATGATCTCAGTACGTCTCATTTAAGGATATTTCATTGCATAAACCACCTCCCACCTTATGTTCTCTCTAAAAAGGAGAATTGGCTCTCAGACTGACCTCTCAGAGCCAGCAACCTGTCAGGACTCGAGGCAGAGCAGCAGACGATGCAGTTTGCTGCATTTTAGTCAGATTAAATCACTGCAGCTTCTCCTGCAGGCCCAGGCTCGCCTCTGATTGGACTTTTAATACGATCAAACTCTGCTGGAGGAAAAACAATAACCAAACGACTCAGGATAAAGATTTTCAACACTTTATTTTTTAAATTAGCCATTGGTATGAAATTATTATTTTCTTGTATGTTTTATTTTGATTTTATAATTAAAACAACAAGATCAAACATGAGTAATTTTTTTTTTGTTTGTTTTTTGTGGAGCATCATGGTGAGTGTCAGTCAACAACCAGTGAACTCCTGATGACTGGAAACAACTCAAAGAAACCCTGCAGGAAGAAGCAGACAGAAAGCAGACAAAAAAGGACACATTGGATTAAAACACTACATAATAAAGATTTGTAAATAAAATCTGAGACACCGGGTCAGAAGCGAAATGACTCAGCTTAAAGACACTACATATCATAAACATCAAAGGAAAATGTGCCAATCCCAGTTGACTTCACCAGTGATTCACAAAATCAGGGTCTCCTACAGATATTATGTGATTGACAGAAATCAAATAAATGATTGCCAATAGCAGATTTACATCACACCAACAATCATTTTGTCAGCCATTTTGTAAAATGGCAAAAATAAACAACTACGTAAATAAAAGACTGGCTACCACCAGGGAGCCTTTGAACTTCTGTGACCTCTGCCCTGGTGGTCCTCAGACTGTGCCCTCTCAAAGGTGACCACCTTAAACATGGTGGAGGAGTTCCTGGGATCAGTGGCAGTGTTTGCCCTACATTACTGGCCTAGGGTGGAGCGCTAACATTACTAACGCCAGAGGTGGTCAACGGGAGGTGGGGCTATGTTGAAGCAATTTATCCTGTCACCACAACGGCTGTGTCTCAATTCAGGGGTTTCAGCCCCTGATTGAATACGTCACTGCCCCCCACACTGTAGGCAGTCTGTATTCGTAGGCGCCTAATTGTGTGGCTGACAAAGCCCCTAAAAACATAGGCTACATCTGAGTATCCTAGGTGGTCGACAATATCCCAGGATTCATTGGGCTGTCAGCCAACTAAACATAAAAACGGAGACTGTTTTTTATATTTTTTTACAGCAAGTTTGGAAATTTTTCACAGATCTAATAATTTGTTTTTAAATGTAAGTTTAGCAACTTAGCTGATGAAATTTCTGCTGCGATGAGATGTTAAAGGGGCAACACAGGGTTCGACAAATCCTACTGCCCGAGGCAGGAAAAACTCATATTCAGGCAGGTGGGTGTGTCCCAATGCCTGCCCGACCGGGCAGGTAAACAATTTCTTTTTTATAGGGCCATTTATTTGAAATATTCTGAAAATAAATGAATAAATACGGCGTTTTAAAACACGTAAAGAGAGAATAAATCCTCAAAATTTCCCCCTCCCCTGTAGAAAAGTTACGTTGTGCAGCGGTTCGCGGGATCATTTCCTCCCTCCTTCCTGCTGCACGTCACACAGAGCGAAGCAACAACCATAGTTCTTTTACACCCATGTTTTCGGAGAAAAAAAATGTTTTTTATGTATTGTTACCCACAGAGATGCAAAAAAAATATGTGGAGGTATGTTCAATCATAAATCCATCTTGCTAATATCGGCTTCTGCTCTGATGATGAAGATAAGAGCGCAGCAGCAGTGGGCCGTAGGGTTGGGCAATATTGGCAAAAAAATTAATCACGATTAATTGTGGTATTTAGCCGATAATGACTCATTTGACAATTAATCCCCTGGAGTCCCTGGACACCCTTATGTCCTGGTCACATGACCAATTTAGTGGAAAAGATTTGCTCTTCATATAAATCTGTTCCAAATTGTGTCAAAATTAGACTTCAGGCTATACATCTAATTTTTAACTGTGTTGACAGATAAATAAATTACAGAACTTTTTTTTAAATGTTCATCATATCTGAAGCAGAGAGGAGCACGAAGAGGACTCTGCCTGGTGGCATTAATCATTTTAATCGTCAAGTGCCCAAAAATAACCGATTAATGTTTTTCTGATGATTAATTGCACACGATACGATTATGCCCAACGCTAGTGGGCAGAAGCTCATTGTATGGCAGGCAAATATAACATTTATTTGGCTTCACCACACTTTTATTCTAGTTATCTGAAATTGTTTTCTGACTAAATTAGACATATTAGTTATTAGTTATTTTGTTTTACTTTTTTTTTTTTTAATTTGGAGATCTTTCCAACTTGAGCTTGTTCATTTGTTGAAGCTGATTTTTGAAAATACGGGGCAAATATGAGGAGTTTATTTACTTCACTCTGCACCCTTTTAATTCAGGGTATGATTTATTTTTTTTAAATGGTGTACATAGATGGTTTTGTTTTTATGATGGACATCTCTTAATATTTTGACAAGACAAAATACCTATTTAAGATATCTCTAATTATATTCTGACTAATATATATAACATCAGATTTTTCATTAAGATGTATGGAGACTCCAGTTCAAGATATCTTAAATGTATCTTTAGATCTGGGATAGGCTATATACGATTATTTTAATGCAAATTGTAGACTTTTTCATGTTCTGTAAATTGTATTCAAAACAAAGCTGCTGTTGATCATTTTGTTTTCATAAGCCCCGCCCCCAAGGCCAATACTCTAGGGAAAACACTGGAAAGGTCTTAAAAAAAGTTTTTGAAGATGTTCTTGATAAAACAATTGACTGTTAGTAACTCAGTCTAAAATGTTTTCATCTGTTTAATCAGATGTCATGTTATATACCTCTGTATAACCATGTTAATATTTTTGTAGTACAAAGTACAGTACACGTTTTTCTTATGTTATCAAAATTTGAACATTTTTGTTTTGGGCAGGTAACTTCTCATGTCGGGCAGGTAACATTTGTTGTCACCTGCCCAATAGGGCAGGTGAAAAAATAATCTTGTCGAACCTTGGGGCAACATCCAGTAAACTAAACTTTGAGCTTTATATCACGTTATAACATCATTCCCTCATCCAAAACATGCCCAGAGTCTTGCTTTGACTCTTTCATGCATGTTTGAGAAACACTGTAATGTCCTGTGGTAGCTACTGAGGAGAACAGAAACTGATAGTTGGCCCTAGAAGCGCCTTTTAGGAGCAGCTCCTCCTCTGGGCTGTGTCTCCAAGCTTCCTCATCACAGAGCACACCTCCTCCTGCAGGCTGCCGGCAGCAACAAGTAGCACACAAATACCTGGTGAAACCATGTCTGATCAGCTGGTAATACTTCTCAGTTCTGTCCTTTTTGGATTAAAAATGCCTTTAAGGAAATGTTTTTTCAGATGCCAAGGAGTCTACCCTCTTTTTAAGCTTCACATGGATGGCACTGTTCCTGAAAAATGGTTGGACTTCAATTTTGGAAGCAACCCTCTGACAAAAAATTGTTTTATTTGTGCGAGCCATTTTACAGATGATCGCTTTCTGAACAAAAGAGAATTTAACATTGGACTAATAAGATTATCACTGAAATATGATGCAATTCCAACACTCAGAAGTACACAAACACTACTGTCGTCTGCCCAGGCAAACTGAAAAACAACTCATGTTGTTTTGTTTAGATTAAAAAAGAAAAAAATTGTATAGGTCTTCTGGACGGGTTCTTCTTTAATGAAACGTTTCGTCTCTCCTCCAAGAGACTTCTTCAGTCTGAGAGTTTCAGGCAAAATTCAGGCTTTTAAGCCCTGCCTCCATGTGACTGATACTCACATCAAACCCAGACCCAAACCAGTGGTTATTCCGTATGTTGCGGGTGTTTCGGAGAAACTGAGACGTTTATTTTCTAAACATGAT